TGGCGTCGAAGCTACTTTATCTGCAGCCACCATATGCCTCGCTGTCACCAAACGAGGCTCTCAAGTAAAGCAAGCGGCCAAGCGCGTGTGCATCCCGTCTTTATGTATAACAAAATCGTTTCCTACGTCCCGGCGCATCTTGTCCCGACAATTTGAGACAAGGTCTTATTTGACAGAAACTCTCCTTGCCTCGTGGCAACCGCCGCCGGATGACCATGCTAGCATTTGCCCATTATCTCATCCACGGAACAGACTCAGGCCTCTCACTACCCGTGCCGCACTCTGTCTATCCGCAGATGACAGCCCGCACCCAGGCTCAAGTTCGCTCCCTCGTCCGTCATGAGCCAAGACAGACCACCTCAGTCTCCTTCTCCTTCTCCTTCTCCTTCTCCATCTCACAGGGGTCTAGGCCCTGGCCTGCACAGCAAAATTGGAACGGGAACGTCGACGGGCGGCGCGGACGGCAGCGAACCGCAGCCCCAGGCCGGGCCCTCGTGCTGGCTCGCCACACGCTTGCCTGCCTTGCCTTGCTTGCTTCCTTTCCATTGCCCCCCTTGCTCATATGAACCCCCAACCTCTGGACTCTGGAAGTCTGGGCATTTCATGATTTCATGTGGGAGCGGGAGAAAGAAGAAAGACGCGGCGGCCGTATGCTCACCACTAGCCTTACACAGTAATACAGGGGGAGACTCTCGACTCACTTGAAAGCTGAGACTCTTGCTCGAGAGGACGACGGATGCCAATGTTACAGCCACCACAGTGGAGCTGCCAGAAGCTTGTCCACCATCGCGCACCGTTTAAAAGACAGGCCATCCGGATACACATACCGCATACCACTGATTTCAGTCTCCGAGTGTCTCCAATAGCGGCACCGGGGCCTGGGTAAGTTCCTGCGACCCACGGCGGGTTACAGAGTTGAGAGTGTGGGTTGCCTGTAATTGGCTTCGCAGACGACATCATAAGAGACGGGTGGGGTTTTTTTCTTGCTTTCTCGCGACGCAAAGGCACTGAGCCATATGATCATGACCGTACCACTCGTACGTAGGGAGGTTTAGTGAGACCGAGCCTCGAGAGACATGGGCTGAAAGCCCGAATCAGCCGTCAACGTTCCCAAAAAAGTGAGGCATTATAGACGTGAGCCGCGAGCGTGAGTATGATCCGAGATCAGGCCCGTGTTGAGGTTCAAAGGTGGGATGGAAGAAAGATATGGGCCATACACCCTCCATCCACCTGGGTCTGGTCTGGCCTGGCCTGGTTTGTCCTGTTCCTCCTATCCACAGTCCTCGTTTGTGCGGTCTGGAAACCGGGAAATGGAGAGAGATGTGGAGGCAAACTCGTCTTCGCTTCCCCAAGGACTCGAGGACACGTTCCCTACTTTCCCATTTTTTTTCCTTGTCCCCTCCCCCCATAGGTGCCCATTAACCACGTACGTACACGCACCCGTCAACCCGTTCCAATACACTAGTAGGGGTTGGTGTTTGGCCGTAGAAGAACCCAAGAGGAACAGTTCATGATCCACCCTCAATAGGTCCGCAAGTTGCAACCCCTCCATCATAGACACAAGTAAGTATGGATACTAGCAGCGGGCAGAGACTCATAACAAAGTAACAACAAAGGATACAGGCGGGCAGGCATGACGGGAAGAAGCATAGCAGACTGCGACAGACTTATTAGCCAAGTCACCCTACCAATTTGACACCTCAAAGAGATTGACTTTCAAACATGCAGATCGTCCGTAGTGTAATCAACGACAGACAGGCACAGGGAAGGGCCCGCAAGGTTCACAACCCAATCTCGAATCTATGTCGAGCGTACCCGTAGTCGTAGAAAGGTTGTCGCGAAACTCGGAAACACACACCTCACGGCTGCTGCTCCTCATTCTGATTGATGAAAATCTCCAGTCTAATTCGGCCTCGACGCACCGTTCGCGCGCCGCAGCACCCACCAGTGAACACCCACCCACCTTTTCACACACTACCGCAGTAGACGGTGACAGACCGCCAAGGCAATGGTAACCTATCTGCACGTCTCTTGTTGACCGCCTCCCGTCGGGGATACAGTGCGTTGGTTCCGTCGAGATGCTGCACCTTCATCAGCTGCCGGCAAACCAGAACAGAGGGATCAGAAAGGCCCAAGGGCATCGACAGCAACCATATGTGCCTCTCTCTCGTCCTCTGCAGGGTCTCTGGTCCTGCCGTCAAAGCAACGCTTCCGAATGGTCAATTGCCCATCAGTTTGTCGGACGCTGTTGGTGCTGGCTTTGCTGCCCGCTGCCGCTCCTTACCCTGTCCCGGACTCCCGGCAACGCAGATCCTATGCTGGCTCCTGAAGTTCACGATCCTCTTCGGGCTAACTCATTGTTGCTCTGAACTCCTAGTCTTGGACAACTTCGGTCGTTGCCCAAAGAGGCGTTTGGCTGAATCCATATTGTACCGTCCTGGCAATGAGCGGCGCTTCTCTGACCCGTGAACTGCCAGTTCCCGGATGGCAGATGCTGGCGTGGCGTGCCAATCTCTCCGCCATTCGGAAGTGGGTTGGACCTTCGATGTGGCTTGCGCTAATAATTTTGATAATTCGACTCAAAACCCACTGTCAATCTGCATTCACACGTTATTTTCGCCTACATTTCCCAGTCGGGCAGCTGCCGTCCGTCATTTCGCTCAAACTCTCAGACTTGGGGGGCTTCAAGCCTTCACCTGTCATTGTTTTCGTGTGCGTCTGTGTACCTACCGTTGCCGCTGCCGCTGCCGCTCCCGCCACATTGTCATCCTTCCGTGGACCGTGGGGTTTGACCAACCAAGTTGGTATGGTTGGCCGGGGAAGGATTCGACTCATCTTGGCTATCTCTCGGACATTAGCCAGATGGTCGACCACGTTTCTCTGTGGTTTGATTCGCGTGCTACAGAGCCTCCATGGTGACATGAAGTACGGGGCGCCTAAGGTAGGGTAGTCTGGACCTGTTGCAGCCCGCCTTCTCTGAGATTGTCTAGATTGGAGAGCCCTAAGCCGAGTTGCGATGTCTTCGATAACGGAACCCTGCTCAGTGTAATCTCATAAAATGAGCGCAATCCCACCTCCGTGGGCACGCTGCAGCTCGTCAAGAAGCCGTCATGCAAAGCAGCAAAACAAACTTGCCTCGATTTGTTCAATTTGTTGTCCCGCACAGCAGCAATGACACCAGGGCTTGTTGTGAATCGTTTCGGCCTGGCGACAACTCGGCGGTTCTCCATGAGTCGGGTACGCGTCCAAGGCCGAGCCTGAGTCGTAGACAGATACCCAACCGTACCTTTGCTCCGTACGAATAAGTACAAAGAGCCGAAACGTGATATTCGTCGACGTTTTGGACCACGTTCATGCCGGCTCGCCTCAAGCTGCTTTTGCTTCTGCGCCAGTGAGACAAGCCGAAAATGGACGCCAACAGTTTTGTGATCCAGTGTCCCGTCGCCTCTACCCGCACTTTATCCTAGCGGGATGGGGCGCTCCAATCGCCTGCTTGCAAAAGCCCATGTTCCATCTGCTCATTTTCATCAACTTCGTGCATCGCCAATCAAGATGCGAGCAGGGATATCGTTGTTTCCCGCGCTGGTGCGAGGTGGTCTGCATCTCGCCTTTCACTCAGCGATCGTCGTCTCAAGAGATTTGAAGTTGGTCTTTCTTATTTCTTCTCGCCTTGCCAATGCCCGTGCTGCCCCCACGGAGCCAGCGAGCTCGTTGTGCTTTGTGTGCTAAGGAAATAAGATGAGCCAGGGCAAAACGGTGCAAGGGACTGGGAGACAGGTGGCACTCGGGCCAGGTGCCACCGTATGAACATCTAGCAATCTGGGAAATCTCCCCGTGCTCTCTCTTCACTCCTGATCTGTTGTCGTCACCGCTGGGTCCGCGTTGGACTGTTGATGGAGCAGCACGACTTAATTTCGATCCGTCGGTAGTTGTTACAAACAGACGTCGTTCTGGATCCCTTGCCAGCTTTGGTTGTTGGCGATTGACGTTTCCATCCCAATGTGGGATTGCCCCTGCCTCTCATTTGCGGAGCAGCAAAGGAGGCTGTGAAAGTCGATCACCAAATGTTGACCATCGGTCCGTCAGTTGGCAAGTGGTCCATTTGGCAGGCATCTCTGTGTGCGTGGATTAGAGCACGCGTGTCGTCCCCAGCACCACCTCCATACTCCGTACTCCGTACTCCAGTATCGAAAGACGGCCTCTCCCCCGAACAAGACATTTGCTGGAATGCCTGCCCGGCAGCCGGCACAGGGGTACGGGACCCATCTCATCAACATTCTGAAACAGACAAACTGGGCCTCTTGTAGATCAGCCTGGCCAGTTTCGGGGCACCGCATGAATGTCGAATTGATCAGCCGCCGATTCAGGGAAGCACTCCAAACACTGAGTTTCTAATAACAGCAGCCCCAGCTGGAGAATTGCAGCGGAGACTTTGGCTGACAGAATGCTTGGTATCGAGGCTGTGATCACTCACTCGTCGAGCGAGTACGAATGTGTAGCATCGAGCGGCCTGGAGGTAAATACTTTCGTCTGATGAACATTCGGATACCTGGTGCTGTATACACAGGTCACGGGTTAATGTAGGACAGCAAGCTGCAACCCTGCGACCAAAAAACACAAATAGCAACATCAAGGAGATGCAAGACAAGATGCATGTCCCATTAAATAGATCCAGACGGACGGACCCAATGAAAGATTGACAATCCCCAGCTATGTCAGCCTTTCCAAGATGAAAAGTGGCAGCCTTGTCGCAAACACAAACTCGAAGCTTTCTGAGTGTACCACGTATCGATGGTTTGGTTTTGCAGAAGCGGCGTGTTGAGTCGAGGCTTAGTTGTCGGCTCCGGTATCTGAATTGTCGTTCCACATGCCACTTGCTACATGCCACACGGCACTCGTCACCGTTGAGTTTGGACATAGTCGTACTGAGGAAGGATTTGGTACGGCGAGTGTGGCAGCCACGCAAGAGGCAGGATGAGTAAGGCTGAAGTGAGACCTGGCTAGACGCAGAAGTTGGAATGAACTCTTCGGGGCCGAGAGATGATGTCCGAAAGCATGAAGGACGTGAGGCGAGCAGGCTTCAGCCTCCCGAACACAAAGGACCCGAGCAGCCGGTGTCCACGATCTGCCATCTGTCCGAGTAAACCCGAAAGGCGCCTCAAGGCGTGGCATGGCGAAGATGGCGTCCCATCTTTCAGAGTAGGGCGATGGGAGGACCAGGGGGCAGCTTGGAGCCGCGACCCAGGGACCAGCACCCACGTCCCGGATTCCGCTTTCCGGAACAATTCATCACCAATTTGGCGCACTGATGAGCGACACGTCGACGGATTCGGTCCTTGGAGGCGACGAGAACAAGAGCCGTGAACAAGAGCGAGGGCTGTGCTTGTCAGTCGTAGGACAATCCAAAGTCTAGGTTGGGTAAGGTATCCGCAAGTGAAAAATCCTAGGGTCCCACCAGCTCGCGACTCGTGGGATGAAAGGGCAGTCAACTTGGATGCAGATGATAGGAAACGGGAATGGCTGAGTTGCATGTACAGAGTACAAGCGACAAACTTGGCCGGGTGTCTCGGGGACCTTGTTCGTATAGAGCGCGATAGTCCAGGTGTCAAGGTCCCTCACAGGGTGAAGGACTCGGGAAGAGAAGACAACGTCTTGGGGGTCTGAGACTTGGAGATGTGAAAACGCAAGTGACATGGAAGGTGCGACTACAGGCGGCATCCCATCCGAAGCGGTCTTACCCGCGCAAACCTGGAAGGCAGCGTGGCACCTCGCGAGAAGGAAGCACCGACTGATACGGATAGTGACGGAAGGCAGGATGATGGGGTGTTGAACCGCGTCCGCACGTGTTCGAGAAGGGTATGTAACCAGTAAAGCAAGCGCGAGTCTGACATTAATTACAGCCGAGGAAGGTGCCCATAGTAGGAATGATGCCATCTTGTTAGAGCAACAAGTTAGTGCCCGCCGTAGAAGACGGACAGAAGCAGTATGGACTACTTTACTTTTGCTAAGGTATGAATGGTGCTAATGCATGAGCCTCCCTCCAAGGGAAGCAAGTTTCTTTTCTTCTTTTCTCCTGCGGCTTCTAGCTTATTTTTAAGACCAGTTTAAATTGCAGCGTTGAGAGAAAGTGCGTCTAGATCTCAGATACACAGCTCATGTCACCAAATATAGTCATATAGTCATATAGGGCAGTATGTATACCCCACGGTTACCGGCTCTCAGAATGCGTGCCAGTTCCAGAGTTTAGAGGTGGCCTGGTTTACCACATGGCCAGAGACCATGGCCTTAAAGATAGACTTGACGATAACTATGCTACAGCCTACGGCCACAAGTGACAAACGCATTGAGATGTCATTTGGACCCTGGTGACAAGACCTGACCGAGACCTGCCTTAGCTGCGGCTGTAAGGTCAAGGCCCGATGTGTGAGACTGCAAGACTGAGGCGAGGCCGGGGTGGCTTGGCCCCCCTTTCGGAGCAATCATCCAATTCTCTTAACCAACAGTAAGAGCCTCTTTTCGCCTAGCACAGCAGCGAATACCTAGCACCATGGGGGTTGAATAGCACGTATGGATAATGTTAGTGATGGTGCGGAGTACTGGATCTGTAAACGGCCGGATTGGCTGCAAGGTACGGCTACATGTACATATCGGCCAAGGGGACAAGAGCTGCATGAGATGCAGTCCAATGTAATATCGAGTGCCTGCCACAATATACCGCTCTCGAGTCCCATTAGGACTAGGTTGTTGTAGTGCTTTTGAAGGTATCCATAGGAAGCGGATCACTTTCATGAGGGTTCATTGACAAGAGTCAAGTATCGCTTCTCAGGTCTGGTACCAAGACTCGATTGATCTTCATAGCTCTTGCTATGCTGAGCCATGGCAGAAACGACCTTCCTAACTCTATCTGCAGCGCCATCGCCGTCGTCCGACCTGCTCAAGAGTCAAGCCTCACCCACTATAATACTTCAAGGTTCTGAGGTGAGAAAAAGAGAGGAGCCAGGTGCCGTGGTACCTTGCCTTAGTCACGTCGTTGGTGAGATGCCAAGGACCAGAACGTGGGTGAGCGGGCAGAGCTTGATTTGCGGCCCCTATCCAAGATTGGCAGCACTAATATTAGTCCCATCGGAGCCCCTGAGAGGGTGGCGTACCACGCAGTCGCACCCACGCTTGCCACGGCCGACGCTGGGAGTCTGGAGTCTCTGTCTGGACAAGTGGCCCCCTCCATCCTGCTCTCTCCCTCACAGTTGCAGAGTGGGACCTGGGTGTCGTCTCCCTGTACCAGGTACATGCGGGCTGCGCTCCGGCCAAGGTGCCAACACCTGCTGGCGGGTAGAAAGCTCCACTCTACCAAGTATCCGTGACTGTACATCGCCTGCCGGATCCTGGATTGGGCGGGCTTGATCGCGTCAACGTGAACCTCAATTTCCAGAACAAGAGCAGGAGCAAGGAGAGAGAGGGTACCTACGCAACTACACACGTACCTGCCACACAGTATGCGGTAAACACACCATAGAGAAGGGAAAGGAAAAGGCAAAGGAAAGAGAGAGAGGGGCGGGAAATACCTACGAATACACTACAGACGAAGAAATCGATTTTTTTTTTCTCTCACGCCCATCGCTGCTAATTGCCGGGGGGCATCCATATCTTTGCTGCACTACAACCTCGCCTACCCACCCCCCTTCCTCTTTTTTCCCTTCCTTCTTCCCCTTTCCCTTTCCAACACCCTGCAAGCAGCAGCTGTCCTCTTTTTCCAGACCTCTATTAAACTGTTCCTGTAAGGTCGTGGTTGTCAAAAGCTTCCTGCTTTCGGCTTTTTCCTTCGATTCTCCCTCTTCCTTCACCACAAGTTACAGATTCAGAAAGCCGTGCTCAGCCCCATTCCAAGGTTTGAACCGGCTCAAGTACCACCACAGGTGTCCGTTAACGTCTAACTTTGGGACCCCCCATTGCATACTGTTAAAGCACCTGTCGCCTACCCCACGACACCTTTAACGAGTTGCTTGGCCGTCCCGTCCACTCGCTCGCTCTCGTTTTTGCGCGTCTCGTCTTTTTTTGCTGCCGAGCTGTATCAACTTGCTCCTACATCAACATCAACCGCCGCTACCGACGACCTCAATCAATCCTCCGCCTACCTCAACCACTCGTCCCCTACACCCTTTTCCCCATTCCGCACACCAAACCGTTACAATGGGTGCCGACGAGAAGACGCGCGTTTCAGGCGAGGTTCCTCGTGGAGAGAACGGCTCTATCCTGCCTACCACGAACCAGGACGCCGAGAAGTCGTCTCCTCAATCCAAGGGTCCTCAGATCCATCCCGCTCTCTACGTCATGTAAGAAACTAGAACCTCGATTTTCCGCTGTTGCGAAAGTTGGCTGACCCAATCCTCTCGCAGTGTCTGGATCTCGCTGTCCTCCTCCGTCATTCTGTTCAACAAATGGATTCTCGACACCCTCAACTTCCGTAAGCCGATCGAGACGACAGCTTGGAGCTCTAGGCAGGATGCTAATTAACCACAGGCTACCCGGTTATTCTGACGACCTACCACTTGACTTTCGCGACCATCATGACCCAGATCCTCGCTCGCTGGACTCACGTTCTCGACGGACGCAAGTCGGTCAAGATGACTGGCCGTGTCTACGTGCGTGCCATCGTGCCTATCGGTGTCTTCTTCAGCTTGAGCTTGATCTGCGGTAACTTGACCTACCTGTACCTCTCGGTTGCTTTCATCCAGATGCTCAAAGCTACGACCCCCGTCGCTGTCCTCCTCTCTGGATGGGCCCTTGGTGTCTCCACGCCCAACCTAAAGGTCTTCCTGAACGTCTCCGTTATCGTCGTTGGTGTCATCATTGCTTCCATTGGCGAGATCAAGTTCGTCTGGATTGGTGTCATCTTCCAGATCGGTGGTGTCATCTTCGAGGCCCTGCGTTTGACCATGGTCCAGCGCCTGCTCAGCTCTGCCGACTACAAGATGGACCCCCTCGTTTCCGTCTACTACTTCGCTCCTATCTGCGCTGTCATGAACTTGGCTGTTGCTCTCATTTGGGAGATTCCCAAGGTCACCATGGACCAGGTGTACAACGTTGGCCTGTTCACTTTCTTCTTGAACGGTCTCTGCGCCTTCCTGCTGAACGTCTCTGTCGTCTTTTTGGTAAGTTTTAATGCCTTCAAGATCTCCCAATCACCGTTACTAACACTATTTTCAGATCGGCAAGACCTCTTCCCTGGTCCTGACTCTCTGCGGTGTCCTCAAGGACGTCATGCTGGTTGCCGCCTCCATGGCCATTTGGGGCACCCAGGTCTCTGGTCTCCAGTTCTTCGGATACAGCATCGCCCTCGGTGGCATGGTCTACTACAAGCTCGGCTTTGAGCAGATCAAGGGCTACATGGGCGAGGGCGGTCGCCAGTGGGCCGAGTTCGGCCAGCGCAAGCCGATTCTTCGCAAGCTTACCATCATTGTGTTCTCCGCCTTCGTGCTCTTCACCATGCTTGGCGGCCTGGCACCGACGTACGCTCCCGAGTACGACCCCCACAACCTCATCAACGAGGTCAACAGCCACTTCGGCAGCAGCAGGGCATAGGTTATGGGATAGAAGGCGATAGCATCTTTTCTTTGGCCTGTCATTTTCCTATTTGTGGGCGTAGAGATGTGATGATACCAAACTCTCTCTACGCGACGACTACCCTGTTCTGAGTACATATTACGAACTTCCTTTCACCCATGTTCACTGTTGACCTTTTTTTCTTTTTCTTCCTTTTTTAATCCGGAAAACGGAACCGACTTTTGTTTGACTGGGGAGTTACACCCGTGTACAGCTATAGAGCAACGGCGCAGAGCGCAAAAGGGACCAGGTTGCATAGCTTGCATCATGAAGTTCTAATCTGATGTACTCTAGACGGAGGAGGATATAGACATGTACGTACGCAATGATACACAAAGCTTAAAGCAAAGGACGGCGGTATTCCGCAACGAAATGACCGGTGACATGAGGCGATGTGCGCGGGGTTCGAAACTTGGATGCCAATGGTGTAGAAACACAAATCGACTCGGCTCACTTGAGACCACTTACTAGGCATGCCAAACTTGAGTTCGCGAATGGAAAAGAAGCTTCGGCCAGTAAGAGTGTTTCTAGCTTATAGCTGTCATCCTCTGCAATTATGATGCATCAGGCCAGAAAACAACATCACACTACAAGAGCGCTCAATCTAAACGGCGATGGTCTCAACATCTAACGTGAGCCGTGGTTTCAGCAATTCGGTCTTGGCTTGTAATAGAGGGTTGTGTGGGTGGGTTACAATATTTTGTGCAACAAGTTATGTGGGTCGCACCGCAACTGAGCCGGTGGGCTGCCGAGTATTGATGGCATGAAATTGAAAGCACTCAGCATACCTAGGTAGGGACCATAGCAACTATCACGACTCGATTTGGCTGGAAAAGTTGGTTTGACTTGCTTATTTCATGTTCCATTGATCATGGCCATCCCACGGCCGAGGGCTGAATCATACCCATCAGTCATCATAGACCCTTGACCC